ACACACACACACACACACACACACCATCCTCCTGACACACATCCCCCTGTCCCCTTAGATATGCACACATATCCCACACACGTCTTTACTGCCTGGAAGGAAGCAAACCTGAAGGGTGTAGAAGAGCGCACAGAACCTGCACCTGGGGCCCTGCCCCCAGGCCTGGCAGGGACTTTGAGCAGGTCCCTCACTTGTCTAGGCCCTCAGTTCCATGATGTAAGTGGAAGCTGCCTTCCCTTTCCAAGAGCAACGGTGAGGAGAAGACAAGCTGTGGGGGGATGACCGATGGGTGGCACCTGCATGGGCTGGGCACCACTCGAGTCCCCTCCCTGCCCTCAGCAAAGGAGGCAGGGCCACCACCGTTGCTGGAATGCTCATTACCAGCATCCGGTGCCTCCTGACCTGTAGGATGTGGAGCCCAGGGGCAGAGTGGGGACAGGGCTGGGCAGAGAACTGTCTCCTTGGAGGCCCAGAGCAGCCTTGGGCAGGGGGTGTCACTGTCGCCGTCGCTCTGGGTTGTCACGGGGCCAGAGTGGGGCGGCTGTCGTCTCTTAGTCGGAGAGCTGGGCAGTCAGGAATTCTCATGAACCCGAGCCCCTCGCTCACCCTGCCCCGGTATACGGGCTTCTCTGTTCCTTCTGCACCTGGCCAGCCCCGCGCCCCTCACCCTGTCTTTACCTGGCCAACTCCTTCAGGTCTTGGTGTCTGTGAGTCCCCCTGGGCACCTCCCTGACCCCCCAGCATAGCCAGGCACCCCTGTTATGGGCTTGGGAGGCAATAGTACTGCCCTTTTGTGGTATTTGCACACCTGGACTTCCTATTTTTTATGGAGGTTAAATTCACATAACATAAAACTAGCCCTTTAACGTACACAATTCAGGGGCAGTTGGGACATTCACAATGTGTGCAACTACCACTGCTATCTAGTTCCAGAAGATTTTGTCACCACAAAAAGGAGACCCTGTACCCGTTTGCTCCCCACACCCTGCCCCAACCCCCACACACATGGACTTTTGAGGTTAATTACACACAGACTGTATGGTCTGCTGCCCTCCCCCGCCCCCCCGTCCCCCAGGTGTGCTCTCTGCAGTGGGGACCAGAGTGGCCGGCTCACCTGCAGCCACGAACAGGATGCCAGCGCTGAGGACAATGTTGTTCTTGCGGCTATAGAACCTCCCGGCACCGATGCAGAGCCCACCGAGCAGCAACAAGATGGTGCTGAGGATGGGGAAGACACTGGAGGCACGCACGATGCCTGGCCGGGCAGGAGACAGAGCAGAGAGGGTGGTGAGGCTGGCCACCTGTGCCTGGGCACAGCCACGATGCTGGCAAGGGGCCCTGAAGACCAGGGCCCAGCCCCCTGACTTGGAATAGTCCCATCGGGCCCAGGGTACTGAGGTGCGTGGGGAGCTGGGGCAGGGTGGGGGCAGCTGGGCGCCATGTAAGTGATGGCCCTGCCTGGCTGGTTACACCAAGTGGGCCAAGGTCACATCCGCCCAGGTCTTGCCTAGGCTCCCCTGGGTGTGAGTCACACTTCTGCCACCAGAAGTGAGGAGACCCCATCAGTGGCACCAGGGGCCACCGTGAGAGCCGTGGACACAGTCTCCTTGAGGCCTCTGGGAGGCAGGGAAGTGGTGTCGTCAGGAGGCAGCTCCGGTGGGTGGCTAAGGACACAGGCTTTGGCACTGGGTGGGTCGGGGTGCAGGCCCTGCCCTGAGACATGCTGGCTGCTGGCTGTGTGGCCTTGGTCCAGTCACATCATCTCTAGAAAACTGAGTTTCCTCATTTGTGAGATGCAGTTCATCATTAGTACCTACATTCCACGGTTGGTTTTGTACCAACAAGGAGCTTAGCCTGGCCAGAGCACGAACTTCCCGAGTGACAGCCTTTATCTCTATTGTCGTTATCTCGTCGTTATCACCCCCAGTAACTGGTGAGGATGTGGAAGGGCAGGGCCTCCTGAGGTCACAGAGACGAAGGCGGCTGGACAGAGGGACACACGTGGACCGCGGTGTCCAACAGAGATAGGTTTGCACCCTTGCTCTGCCACTGTCCCCTCTTTATCACCTGGGAGACGAGTAATACCTACTGGTCAGGGGCTGAATCGTGGCAAAATCCCCACATGCCCAAGTCCTAACCAGGGTACCTGTGACTGTGAGTCTATTTGGAAAAAAGGTCCTTGTAGGTGTGATTGCATGAAGGATCCTCCACACCCAGTTTGTGGTCATTTATTATGGAAGCTTTTGGAAAAGGATACACCCTGCCCCTGAGGGTTGTTGTGAGAATTTGAGGGAATAAGGGTCATAAAGCACTAAGTAGGGGCTGGGGATGTGGGTCCTCTTGCTTAGCACCTGGCAGGAGAAGGAAGGGCAGGAGGGGAAGGAGGACGTGAAGAGGAGCCCAGCTCGGCCTTGCCTATGGGCCTGCATGTCTCGCAGCCCAGCAGAGACCTCGCCACATGGGCCCTTGGTGGCCCTGGCAGGGACAGGGATTCAGGGAGCGCTGGCAGGCGCTGGCTACATCAGCCAGCTGAGCCGGTCTGTGGAGTTCCAGCCTCTGAAGACGGCGTTTGTCTCCTGTTCTGTGAGCACACCACTGTGTGCCCTGCAGCACAGACAGGGGTCTGTTCGGGGCATTAAATGAAGCTCTTCTCTCCGCCACCTCCTCTTCCTCCCTCTGCTTTTTTGCAGCCGCAGGGTCTGGGAGGAGGTTTCCTGTAAGTTTCTGAGACGTGCCTGTGAGCAGTGCTGGCCAGAGAAGCCAGGATCGGGGTTCCCTGGACGCCCTCATCCTGCAAAGGGCTCAGAGGGGTGGAGAGAAGGGAGCCCGGCGCCTCTCAGGTGGCTGCGGTCAGGCCTGGCTCAGAGCCGTCCGTCTGGCCCAGGTAAATCATGTGAGCAACTGTCTTTGCCCCAAACCGGTCACCCATTCTCTTCCTGGGAGTCTCTGGGCTTGTTAATGACCCCGGCTGGTGTCCTCATGAGCGTACACTTGAGGAGAGCTCTTCCTTCCCAAGGAGCTTCCATCGCTGCTGTGCCATCACATCCTTCTATTTGGGAAAATCCCTGCTGGGCCCTCCCAGCCCTGGGGCCCAACCCAGGGGCACCACTGAGGGGTGGGGGTGGGGGGGTGGGGTGGGGTCTGAGGGCAGCAGGAGCCCTAGGCTGGGCAGTGAGTCTGTGGCCCACTCCTGGTCTGCCCCTTGGATGCCCATTTCACATCTCCATCCTGTTCTGGACTCCGGCTTTGGGAGGAGAGTGCAGGCGAGAGCCCCTCCTTGGCTCCTCCTGAGGCTGCACAGGAGGTGGCTGCATCCAGTTCCTGCCCTGTCCTCAAGGCTCCCTCCTCCAGGGCCCCACCTGCCTCCACCAGTCCAGCCCCAGAGTGTACAGGCTCCTTCTGCAGCTCGCCCTGGTGTGCTCACCATCCCTTAACCTTGCCCACACCTCTGTCAACAGCCCTGCACTAACGTCCTTCATTCACCCTGTGCTGGGCCTTCAGGAAGCCACGTGATCTGGCCTGGGCTGAGGTGTCAGGAGGCCAGTCCAGGAAGAGGTCCCAGAGCCCTGGGGACCATGAGGGGACAGGTGCAGAGGGAGAACCAGCACCAGTGCCCACAATCGTAATGTGCCAGGCACGTCCAAGAGGGACGTGGAGAGGGTGTGGTCAGTTTCTCCAGGGCCTCCTTCCTGCAGTCCCGGGGTGGGTCCACGGGGGGCAGACCTGCACTCGCAGCCTCAGGAACCACCTGCTGGCCCTGCGTCGGGCAGCCAAGGGCAAGTTCTGAGTCAGGGCGGATTTTTGAGCTGAGCCATCTCAGCCGGCTAAGCACCAGGGGCCGCCCCGGATGGCTGTGCAGGCCACGCACTGTGCACCTCGAAGGTGACATTGATACCGTAGTCTAAGCGAGTGTTGGGCAACCTGCACAACCATTCGTGGCCGCGCCATGGAATAGCATCCGCTTGCTTCAGTGTTGGCCCCCCGAAAGCAGAAAGAGGGGACAGGAGAGGAAGAGCAGAAGGTGAGGGAGGAAGGCTGGGAGGGAGATCTGGCCGAATTATTTCAGGTTCTGGGCCTGGCCAGCACAGCCCGACACGGCCCCGGGCTCCACGGGATAGAATAGCACGCTGTTCTATTTCACCAGATGACTCAGAACTCAAATCCTTCCTCTTAGAAAATAACACACAGAAAGATCCACAAACAGGTGCCGAGTGATTGGTGCCTCCTCCGAGGACACTGGTATTGATTCTCCATAAAGGAAGCCGGGCCCGAGGCCCTGGGGGTGCCGCTGGGAGCAGCTCCACGTGTGTCTGGGCTGATGTGAAAGGGAAAATGACTTCAAAGCGGCGCTGCTTTTCCCATTCCAGGCCCCTTCCCTGGCTGCGGCCCCTGCTGCCTCCCAGCGAGGCCGAGGGATGAGATGTGGGGCTGGACTGGTCCTTCAGGTTCAGTATGTGTGGTGACTTGCTCCATTCTGGGGCCAGCCTAGCCACAGGACACGGGAGGGCAGGGGCTCAAGGGGCAGCTCATGGGGCCCCACCGTCTGTGCTGAAGACACCTAAGGCCCAGGTAACAGAGGCTGCTCTTGCCACCTTCCTCACCTTCGCCCACAGGCTGTCTGGCACTCAGCAGGCTGTCTTAGTGTGCCACCTACTCTGGCTTTTGGAGAGTAGAATACTGGTGTGTGGGGAGGGGTGGGCGGGTTCAGTGCTGGCAGGGGAATGTGCTCGGGTGTCACAGTCCCCCAGGGACGCTCGGCCTGGGCAAGCCTGCATCTCTAGCCTCCTGGCCCCAGCCAGGCCCAGCGGCAGCAGCCAGCTCCTCTGAGCTAGCCACACCCAGTAGCCCCGAGGAGTGGGGACGCCCCTCACCCCCCCATCTGCTCTCCCCAGGCCTCAGTCTCCCAAGGCATGGGCCTATCAGCCAAGTAACTCCATGGGATCCCCAGCACGTCATGGCAACGCAGGACAAAACTCCATCCTCCGACTCTGAAAGGGAGGGCAAGCACATCCAGAGAATGGCACCCTCTCCACCTGCATGGACCCCGTCTTTCCTGTAGCCCAGCCGCCCACCTGCCACCGGGCTTCCCCACACACACAGGAAGCAAGGAGTGTGAACACTCACGGAGGAGGTACTCAGAGCTGTCGTGGTCATAGTCATTGTCCTCTGGGAAGTGATTGATCCGGAAGCAGTGCCCTTTGTAGATCCCTGGAGGGAACAAGAGGGAAAGGATGTGGTAGCTGTGCCAGGGGGTCATTCATTCTCCCACTCACCCAGGGCCGGGTCATTGCACGTGTGCCAGGCCCTGGGCACAGAGAGAGAGGAAAGACTCAGGCGTCGCAGTGGGAAGGTGCTCATGGGTAGTTTAGTGACTGCAGTCCTCCATTCCAGAACCTTCCGTCCATTTACAGTGAAAGGACACACCATCAATAACTATTCGGGGATGAGAGACCTCCAGCAGAGCCGACCTGGGCAAGCAGGATGTGCGGTCCCCAACCCAAGGGGACAGCAGAGCCACGTCTGAAAAAATGGCCAGGAATCTGCCACTGGGGACTGGGTGGAGGCGGCCTTCTGGGCAGAGAAGGAGGCGGTGAGGAGACAGGGTGCGGGCGGGGCTGGTGAGTTTGGGGAGGGGAGGGGAGGTCGGTGAGGCTGGAGCTTGGTGGGCCTGTGTAGGGGGAGGGGTTGGGGCTGAGGAGGGGGCTGCAGGCTGTATGGAGAGGGGCTGTGTCTGTCCGTATCTTCCCCTCTCTCAAACACACAGGTACGGCCAGTCCCTCCCCCATGTACACACTGAATCCACACAACATTGCAATCCCCTCATTCAGGGTGATGGGAGGAAGAGAACATGGAGGGAGAGAAACTTCCAGAAAGACCGGGGCATCTCCTGATCACCTGGTTCCCCTCCCCACTGTGAGAAGCACCTTCTTAGATGGAAGGCAGGATCCGTGGGTAGTTTAGTGACTGCAGTCCTCCCTTCCAGAACCTTCTGTCCAGCTCTCCCAGCCCCTGCTTGCCCCCAGTCTGGGAACGCCCAGGGCAGAACTGGACACTGTGGAGAGGGGGGCACACAGGGTGTCCGGCCCAGCCCTGCCAGCCAACCTCTCACACCCGGGGCAGCCTCCTGGCTCCTGCAAGGAGCTCATCTTGCCGCCCCGCCCCACAGGGCCAGGCGGGGCGGGTCTCCAGCTGGGCCCACTTCATGTCCTGCAGCTGCAGCCAAGCGCCCTGCTGGCCCCGGCAGCTCAGCCTGACCTCACAGAGTGGGAAGCCGGGCCCGCATCAGGCCAGCGTCCGTCTCTCGGCACGTCTAACCAGGAGCAGCCGCTGATAGGCATGGCACGCTGCTCTCTCGTCGTTGACCCATTAGCCGGCCTCCTGGCTGCTTCCCCCCGCCGTCTGCTGCCTCCGGAGAGCTAGGGTGCTGGGTAAGGTCCCTGTTTCCTGCAGGCCCACGGACTCAGGCCTCGGGGGCCACTGGTGGGTGGGCGGGCTTGGTGAGGGGTGGTGAGGGACAGAGGAGGGTCTCGGGTGGTGCCTTGAGTGCTATCCACTTTGACCGTGTTCTCCGTGCTAAGTCAGACACACACGACTTACCACCTGCCTCAGTCTCCTCAGTAGAACAGAGATAACCACAGGTCTTATCGCCTAAGGATTTGGCACAAGATAATACATAAAAGGCACTTAGATGTTTCTTGGCCCCTGGTGATGGCTCTAAGCAGGTTCCCTGCTATTGGACCCAGAAATCACACACCCTCTGTTCGGCGGGTCCTTACTCTTTCGTGAGTGAGTGAGCGAGCTGGCAGAGAATCACAAGTGTTTGTGATCAAGAGGCAGAGCACCAGGGCAGGCTGGGTCAGGATGGCTGTGGGTGGGGAACTCGGAAGCCAGCCCCACCCTCCTCTCCTTCCTGGCTCCCATACCCCCGACTCAGAGCAAGCATTTTCCAGGCCCTGTGGGCCGCCTGCAATGGCCTGGCTGGGGATGGAACCTACAACCTGGGCATGTGCCTTGCCTGGGGTTTGAACCCATGGCCTTCCGGTGCATGGGACGATGCTCCAATCAACTGAGCTACACTGGCCGGGACTCCAGCTATTTCTAATAATGCTGCTGTAAACCTTCAGGTACAGGTTTTGGGAGGAACCTCGGTTTTCATTTCTCTGGGATAAATGCCCAGGAGTGCAAATGCTGGCTCATACAAGAGTTGCATGTTTCGGTTTATAAGGGTCTGATGAACCGGTTTCGAGAATGCCTATACCCTTATTTTTAAAATGGAATTATACTCTAAAACCTGCTTTTTTTCATTGAACAATATGTACAAACATTGCTCCAGGTCAATACCTATAGATCTTACTTTTAAGAAAACCTGTTTATTGCTTATTTGTGTATATTTTTTATTGTTGATTGTATTACAGATGTCTTCCGTTTACACCCCCTTTACTCCCGTCCTCCCAGCCCCGCTCCACCCATCCCAGGTCTTCAACACCTTATTGCCCACGGGCTTTGCATGTAAATATGTAAGTTTTTTGGTTTATCTCTTCTCATCCTCCCAACCCCACATCAAGGTATGTCAGTCTGTTCCATGGGCTTGGGTCTTATTTTGTTGGTCAATTCATTTTGTTCATTAGATTCCACAAATAAGTGAGATCATGTGATATTTGTCTTTCTCAGACGGGCTTATTTCACTTAGCATAATATTCGCTAGGTCCATCCACACTGTCCTTTTTTTTAGGTGCATAATATCCCATTGAAGCGGTTCTCAACCTGTGGGTCGCGACCCCTTTGGGGGTTGAACAACCCTTTCACAGGGGTTGCCTAAGACCATCGGAAAACACATATGTAATTACATATTGTTTTTGTGATTAATCACTATGCTTTAATTATGTTCAATTTGTAACAATGAAATTGGGGGTCACCACAACATGAGGAACTGTATTAAAGGGTTGCGGCATTAGGAAGGTTGAGAACCACTGTCCCATTGTGTCAATGTCCCACAACTTTTGAATCCATTCATCTACTGATGGGCACCTGGGCTGTTGCCAAATATTAGCTGTTGTAAATTGTGCTGCTATGAACATAGGAGTGCAAATGTCATTTCTGATTGGTGTTCTGGGATTTTTAGGATATATTCTCAGAAGTAGGATTGCTGAGTCAAATGGAAGTTCCATTTTTAAATTTTTGAGGAAACTCCGTACTGTTTTCCATAGTGGCTACACCGGTCTGCATTTCCACCAGAAGTGCACTAGGGTTCCCTTTCCCCCCAGATCCTCGCTAGCACTTGTCGTTTGGTGATTTTTTTGATGATAGCCATTCTGATTGGTGTGAGGTGATATCTCATTGTGGTTTTAATTTGCATCTCTCTGATGATCAGTGACTTTGAGCATTTTTTCATTTATCTCTTTGCCATTTGTATGTCCTCTTTGGAGAAATGCCTATTCAGGTCTTCTGCCCATTTTTCAATTGGATTTTGTCTTCCTTTTGTTGAGTTGTATGAGTTTAAATCTTGGATATTAACCCAAAGAACCATAAGTTGATATTAATCCAAAATATCAACTTGAAAATCCCAGAAGGAAACGAATAGTGTAGGGACCAGTGGAATAAATCTTGCTCCAACACTGATAATGCTAAAAGGAAAATACGCTTTGACAGACATGAGGAAACCATATATTTATACATTTGATCTGAAAATAAAACTCAGGTTTTGAAACATTAGCCTGGGTATACACACGATTGTTCCAAATCTCTTCCAATGTATTTTGCTAACCTCATCTCTACAGGAGGCAGCCCATTGATGTTCCGCTCTCACATCAATGTTCCTGTCTCTCCCCGTCTCCCTTCCTCTCTCTCTAAAAATCAATCAAAAATATTAAAAAAAAAACAAAAAACAACAACACCCCAAACTCAGGAATTGGGCCGGAGGGAGATCTCCCTGCCCTAAGAGTCCAGGAACGTACACCTACATCATGAACCACCTTTGTTAAAGGAAACATCTGGAAAGAAATATCTTCAAGTGTGTGCAGTGTTTCGTTTCTGGGTGATAGGGTTATGAGCGAATTGAAATTCTCCTCTTTAGATTTTTTTCTGTATTTTTGGAGTCTTCTACGATGTATGAAAATGAACCAATATGGCTTATTAAAGGAAAGGAAACCAAATCTTTGATTCTGAGGGGAAGGGTGGCGGTGTGTCTGAAATGAGCACAGATCCGCCTGGACGTGGAAGCAGGTGAATGGAATGTGAACCGTGGTGCCGGGAGGGTGTGCCGGCAGCATGTGAGCCTCTGGGCTGGGCTGGTTGTGTCTTGAGGTCATGCCCTTATTTACGTGCCCTGAGCTAGGATGACCAGGCCTCAGGGAACAAGGACATAGGTAAGACCAGGAAAGTCCCAGGCAAACGGGGATGAGTTGGTCACCCCGTGAGTCATCCCAGGGTGCCCCACCATGGGCCACCTCAGAGGTTTGTCGTGACGAAGGGAACCGTGGAGAAAAGAATGCTAGAGGGAGACTTAATAATGGTGATCATCTGCGTCACCCTTTACTGCTTTTCACAAGCACGAGTTCACGTGCTCCTCACTTGCTCTAACCGGCAGCTGCGGACACCTACTGAGAGCGAACGGATACCCTGAGCCGCGCTTCGTGCCTCTCTGCCCCCCTTTTACTCCAGCCTTCACTGATGCAGCCACCAGCTCCGCCCTCCTGCCGGAGCCATAATTCAGTTCTTTCTTGCTTTTTGCCCCATGGCTCTGGGTGGATGGCCCAGGGGTGCTGCCTTGCACCTGTGTGTGTGGACGCTAAAAGCTTGAGGGATTAGCTTTGAGCAGGAGGATGGGAGCTGGTGGATAAATGTTCCGTTCTCCAGGCTTAGATCCACTCCACCTGCTTAAGGGAGGCAGGTCCAGCAGTTCCGAGTCAAGGGATGATCAACTCAGGGTCACTCCTGCACGGGTACTCCCTCTCTTTGTTTCACTCCTCCCAGCCTCCCCCCGCCCCCGTGCCCGTCCCTAGGAGGACCCCCCAATAAACACCGCCTGCATGCAAGCCCTGCCCAGGCTATGACGAAAGCTCATGCGCTGGGCATGTTCAATGCATCAGCCCATTTCATCTTTGTAATAAGGCTCTTTTGAACCCGGAAGACAGAGGCTTAGAGATGCTGAAGAACCTGTCCTCACTACCCTCGCTGCAGAGGCCCAGCTGTGGACGATCGGACAATCT